ATCACATACCCCTTCCTTCCATTGTTCTCTTTCAGAAATATAAAACTCCTTGGTTGAAGATTTGGAGATCACCAGCTGTCTGGGCCATTGTTGTAGCAAATGTTTGTGACAACTGGGGCTTCTACACTTTTCTCACTGGTTTACCATCTTATCTTAAAGAGGTTCTTGATTTTTCAATTCAAGAGGTACACATTAATCTCTATCATTTAGAAAATTCAGTCAGAAATCATTTCACTGGTTATAGAATTATTGCAATTACAGACATTGCAGAGGTTTTAACAATTTCCATATTTGATGAATGATAATGACCATGACTTTTAATTGGGTGCTTAAAAAAAGCACCATATAATTCCCAGTCATTGCATGACAACAGATGCCATTTTCTTGAATCTAGGAGCTCATGGTTGCCAAAGCAAAACCAAATTATGAGTCTTAAAAAACACCCTTAATTTTAGCTTTTGGGAGCCTGTATGGCACTCAAACACAGGTTTTGTCAGTAACCTCTATTTTTAGAATTAATCATTCAATGATCATGATATCTTCAAAAAGTTACTAAAAAGTTGAGGAGTAGGTTCAGAGCCATGTTGCAACGAAACTGATATTAGGGGCTTTTCTAATAGACTTAAGTATTGGTAATCTATTATTTAAAAAAAGAAACGACCAAACCTTTTTGAGCAATAAATGGTCATTTGTTAGATTCCATTGTTAAGGAAAGAAAGGATCAAAAGGGGTAGCATCTAATCATCAAGCAATAAGTCTTGAAAAAAGTAATATTCAAATCAAAGTAATGAGCCACCGAAAGAGAGCATGTTGAAGTAATTTAGGTGCAGTAAAGAATGAAGCACCAGTGTCAGAGTATATAGTATGCTTGTAACCACTCCACTGTAGATCTGTAGGTGAAACATGCAGACAATTGTTTGATTCACAGTGCTGATACATCCCTGCTAATTACAGATGTGTGGGGTGAAAGAGTGTTTTGCTTTTTTAAAAAATTATATGATGAACTATATGCATGTACAAGAGTCAAGTCCTCTGGCATGGTTAACTTCCACTCATGTAAGCAGTTAGGTGGGAGCTTAAGGGATATTTCAGCAGTCAGATAAATCAGGGCTCAATCAGGTACCTTTAACATTGATTGAAAAATTCCTACTCCACACACCTTCAACCTTCACCATATTTTGGTTTAGTGGAAAATAGTTGATACATTTTTGTTTCAGAATGGCTTTGTGTCTGCTCTCCCATACATACTGAGTTTCATAGGTACTATTGGTAGTGGCCAACTTGCAGATTGGCTACGTAACAAAAGAATATTAACAACTGGAGAAGCTAGGAAAGTATTTGGTACTGCTGGTAAGTTCAGATTGGCTGTTAGTTTTGGCTCTATTCATGACTATGCATTGTTTAACAATTGTTTGCCAAAGGTGAAATTGAATATAATTGTTTAATTATCCTCAAGATGAAGTGGTGGGTATTATTCAACAATGTTAAATGAGCCTGAGGCATAAAAATTCTTATGGTATAATTGGAGAGGTGCTTTTGAATTCTGTTGTATATTATGTAAGTATAAAGAAAATATTGAACATGATTTTTTCTGAATGCACTGATTCCTTATATCAAGATTAGCAAGCAGTTTTAACAGGTTCATTCAATTTAATCAACAAAACCTTCATATCTTTCTACTGAACAGTGTTCCACCAAACTCAGTGGTATTCTTTGTGCTTTTTGCAATTGAATTTTCCTTTATTACATTTATCACTTCCTCAGAAACATTGACAAAAAGCAAGAGCCATTTTGAAATTTTGTGCTCCTGGTATAATCACCTTGCATGAGGTGATTATAGCAAGATATGACACAGTCTCCAACCAATCAGAGCCAGTGCATATCTATAATCACCTGTCTTGAGCAATTATAATAAAATAATATATTGTACATTACTTCTTGCATATTTTGATAATCAAAAACTAATTGAAATCAAATAAAAACAGATTGAATTGCACTAAATGTTCTTCTAATTTATTATGTTACATATCGATAAATCTTCTAAACCACCTTAAATAAACGTGACATGTCACTATCCGCAGGTTTCCTGATTCCAGCTTTTCTTTTGGTGTCCACAAGCTACGTAGGATGTGATAACACCAGCCTTGCTGTTGTTCTCTTTACACTTGCGCTAGGAGTACAATCTTTCAACTCAACCTCTTACTCTGTCAATCACTTGGATATTGCACCCAGATTTGCTGGTATTCTGGTGGGGATAACCAACTCATTTGGTACAGTTCCTGGTATTGTTGGTCCCTATATCATAGGATATCTTACAGATAATCAGGTAATGTTATTTCATCTAAATTTTTTGGTTACCTTCATTTGGTTTAATAACATTATATATAGTAGCTGTTTGCACTTTTATTCAATGTTGTCAATCTAGTGGTGTGGACTGGGAAGTCTTTTCAGTTACAATTACCTTCAAGTCTTGGGAGCTATCAATAGGTGATTCCTCCTTGTGTTAATACACATTATAGTGGATTCCCCCCTTTAACCCACTTCTTCAAGGTTAAGTCTTGAACATGAGGCAAGTGGCCCACATCTCTGAAGTAGATTATCCCAGTTTCTATTCTATTTTATCATGTCTCACACCCCCTTTATTATATATATCCTTCCTCAATTTGCCAGTACCAATAGTTTTACCCTTTTGGTGGAAAGAGGCACTGTGAGAGTTAAAAGTGTTGTTTTCAAGAACCATTATACCCCTGGCCAAATCTTGAAAGAGGAACTTTCAATCTGGAGTCCTGTGTTTTGTTTGTAAGGGGTTTTCTTCACCCCACCCCACCCCCCCC